AGGTGTATGGGGGTGCAGTGGTGGAATAGGTGTATGGGGGTGCAGTGTGGACCAGGTGTATGGGGGTGCAGTGGTGGAATAGGTGTGCAGTGTGTACCAGGTATGCAGTGGTGGAACAGGTGTGCGGGGTTGTGGTGGTGGAAAAGGGGTATGGAGGTGCAGTGTGGAACAGGTGTATGAGTGTGATGTGGTGGAATAGGTGTTTGGGGGTGCTGTGGTGGAACAGGTGTACAAGGGTGCTGTGTGAAACAGGTGTATGGGTGCAGTAGTGGAATAGGTGTTTGGGAGTGCAGTAGTGGAATAGGTGTGGGGGTGCTGTGTGGAACAGGTGTATGGGTGTGAAGCGGTGGAACAGGTGTATGAAGGTGCAGCGAGGAATAGGTGTATTGGCGTGCAATGGTGGAATAGTTGTGTGGGGGTGCCTTTGTGGAACAGGAGTACAGGGGTGCTATGGTGGAACAGGTACGAGTTATACAGGTAAGAGGGACCTGTTTTAATGTTTCCTGTTTAAAAAACAAAAAAAAAGTGGCACACTGAAGAACAACAGCAGCTATAGAGGAACAACAAATCCCAGCAATAATATATTAAACACCCGGTATAATGTATTATTGCTGGGATTTGTTCCTCTATAGTTGGTGGTATTCTCCATTGCGATGTATAATGTATTATTGCTGGGATTTGTAGTTCCTCTATAACTGGTCAGTGGTAATCTGCATTGCGCAGTATAATCATTATACAGCGCAATGGAGAATACCACCAGGTATAGAGGACTACAAATCCCAGCAATAATACATTATATACAGCGCAATGGAGAATAACGCCAGCTACAGGAGGACTACAAATCCCAGCAATAGTACATTATAGTATAATGTACTATTGCTACATTCCTCTATAGCTGCTGGTATTCTGCACTGCGCCGCTGTATAATGTACTATATTGCACACCACACTTTTTTTTTTACTTCCACCGCGCCGAGCTTTCTCCGGTGATGGACTACAATCTCAATACAAACTAGTAGTCCATCACTGGAGCCTTTTTTTTCTCTTTTTTATCCGATTAATCGAACTTAATAATCGGCCAACTAATCGATTATGAAAATAATTGTTAGCTGCAGCCCTAATTTTAACCTGTATGGTGACTCTAAAAGTGATTATTATTTCCTCACAATCAATACCCGTTAGTAATGATATGTGACTATTTGTAGAGCTCTTTCGTTGTTTAAGTAGCACTTAAGATTCCTCCAGTCTCAATACAAATCATGTAGTGTCTAATAGCAGAGCAGTTTGGATCTCCAAATGTAGAACATTGTCAGTTTTATCTCGATTTCTACAGGTGGAAGAGCAGATATGCAGGTTCAGTATATTCCCCAATTAATTATCATGAAGCAAAGCCCTTTCTGTACCCGTTTCAGCCCTGTTGAGATGCTGAGGAGGGACACACACGCACACACCATTTTCTGAAATCTTCCACATGTGTATGGCTGGAAGCATGAGCACCTAATGAAAAAAATTGATTTGTCAGAAGAATTATTTTTTTCTGAAATAGCATTGTGTTGTATAACTTGGTGTGCCATTAGTATTCTGGGAGGCGCATCTCTCAATTCACTAAAATCTTGTGTGCAGGAAAAAAAATAACACTGTCGCTATGGAACTAGTGGCTCAGTATCGTTCATATCTGTCCTATGCCAACATTCTGCAGTGATAGGCTTTGCCTAGTAAATAGCTGGGAGAGTGCCGTTCGCACAGCACAGCGTTGCAGCCGCTAGATGGCAACAAGGAGCATAGGAAGTTCCTATGCTCCTCTAGCTCTACCCAGTGGCTGAAATGCCACGTGAATGGTATTTTGCCCAGCTATACACTGTGCAAAGCCTTTATACATAAAAAACAAAAGTTTGCCAGCCAGTATACGGTCTATCTACTAAGGTTAAAAACAGAGGTTTTAGTTGTACAACTTTTGCAAAATATGTGGAAACCCTACTGCCTCTTTAAGGCCCTCTGTGTAGTGTGGTCCTAACACTAAATCTATGAGAGCCTCCATCTTGGAGGATTTATAGCAAAGGATGAATTGGGTGCAGGTTTGCCAGGAGGTAGCGCAATCCACATTAAAGACACAGGGACACACCAGAAGCCCAGCACATCACAATGGCAACTGAAGACCCCAGCCTGTCTCCACACCAAATCCAAAAAGTGAAACAAATGGAAAATGCACTCATCAATTCATAACCAGCTTTAAAGCCAGAACATGAAAGGACTGGTAAAGCCCATGTGCACCTTACTTTAAAAGCTAGTCAAGAACTGATGAGTGCATTTGCCATTTGTTTTGCCTTTATACATCAGCCCCTAGGCTTTTGGCTACTTAGATGCCTTTTGTATTTGCAGAACTTCAAGAAAATGATCCATAACTGATTTTATAAAAAGACCATAGATCACAGAAAATCCTGGAATGTTCTTTTAAGTCTGTACATCAATTTAATGGTATTCTATAACATTAACATTTATCAGTTGCCAGTGAGATAGAAGTTCTGCCAGAGGTTCACGTTCAGTCAATATTTTCCAAACCCTAAAAGAAGAAGAGAAAGAGAATTGTTAAACAATAAATGCCGATTGTATTGATTTTACACAATTTGTTTAGAGCTGCAGCTAACGATTATTTTCAAAATCGATTAGTTAGCCGATTATTAAGTTCGATTAATCGGTTAATCGGATAAACAATAAAATACATTTAAAAAAATGGCTCCAGTGAAGGGACTACTAGTTTGTATTGAGGTTGTAGTCCATCACAGGAGCAAGCTTGGAGCGGTGGAAGTAAAAAAGAAAAAAAATAGTGTGGTGTGCAAAATAGTGAAATGGAAAGTGTAAAATGATACAGCAATGAATGCAAAATGGCACCGGCTATAGAGGACTACAAATCCCAGCTATAGTACATTATACAGCGCAATGCAGAATATAACCAACTATAGAGGAGTACAGCAAATCCCAGCAATATTACATTATAGCTGGCGGTATTCTGCATTGCGCTGTATAATGTACTGTTGCTGGGTTTTGTAGTCCTCTATAGCTAGTGGTATTCGGCATTGCACCACTGTATAATGTACTATTGATGGGATTTGTTGTGCTCCTCTATAGCTGGTGGAATTCCGCATGGTGCTGTATAATGTATTATTGCTGGGATTTGTAGTCCTCTATACAGCGCAGTATAGCACCAGCTATAGAGGAGTACAACAAATCCCAGCAATAGTACATTATACATACAGTGTATAATGTATTGCTGGGATTTGTATTCCTATGTATAATATACAGCACAATGTACCATCAGCTATAGAGGACTACAAATCCCAGCAATACATTATAGAGCACCATGTGGGGGAAAGTGCAGGCTTACCTGAGCAGTCTTCCAGCAACTTGCTTCTGAGATCGGGTCTGTCTGTCGACGGCTGTCATCCCCCCACACCTGCTCCTCCTTACTACATCTCCCCGCGTCCCTGTGGATGTGGGCGGGCGGTGAGCGTGAGGCGGGAAGGAGGTGCGTCGTGTAAAGCGTGGATGCGGGTGGGCGGGTCTGGCAGCGATGAGCGTGATTTGGGGAGGAGGTGCGGCGCGCAGCGTGTGTGGAGCCGTGAACAGGGCCAACTGATCGGAAGCCGATTAATCGATTATTGAAAAAGTTGACAACTTTTTCAATAATCGATTATAATCGATTATGTCGATTAGTTGTTGCAGCCCTAAATTTGTTTCCCCCCCCATAGTTTGAAATGCCTGTCACATTACCAAGTAAGGGCTCATTCACACGGACGTGCACAGCTGTACAACGTGCACGTCTTGCACCCAGGAGGGACAGCTGCCATGTGTGTAGTCCAGGACCCATCGCACACCTGACCGACAAGTCCCTGGGAAAGCTTTGAGGAGTGCTGAAGTGACAAACGGATGGCATCGCTCACATCAAGAAAAAAAGATTGGTCACCAGCACTCCAAACTGCTTAATCAAAACATCTTTAATGATGTTTGGTCATAGTAACACAGGAGTTGTTGCTCTGTGTAGCTGCTTGTTCAAGTCAATGACAGGCTGCAGCTGCACATGGCTACAAGCTGACCCAAACTTGTACATCGGTACAGGTACGGATGCAGGCCCTTGGGTGCAGACTCCCTGCATTCAAGGACATGCATCCGTACCTGTACAGATGTGCAAGTTCGGGTCGGGGTGTAGCCTCGTGCAACTGCATCTTGTCATAGTTGTACAGGTGGCTGCATGTGGCTACACCAGCTGCCCCTCCTGGGCTCAGGATTCTGTATGGCTTGTATGTTCATTTGAATTGGGGGCCCATAACTAAAGGATCTGTGTATAAACACTCATCAAGTTGCCCATGTGTCCACTACAAGCTTGACGTTGCTCCATGTTGCACCCAAGGGCCTGCCAAATTCAGTCTCCATAGCTACAGAAAACCAGAATGTAATCACAACCAATCGGATAACATAATGCCATGCGAGTGTCTCTCAATGTGCACTGCACTGAATTATAGGATGGAGCAGGCGTGCCTGAGCCTTGAACAATATTCAGAGGGCTCCTGGTCATAGGCAATTCAGAAATATCAAGCTAATACAGGTAAACGCCTGCTGCGGCCTGATTTCACACAAACACTTGACTTCTGTTTGATTATGTGAATAGAGAACATCAAATAGAAGATTTAGATGAAGCTTTAATGTGATCGCTGTGGCCACTCCACCCAAAAGTAATTTTAGAGATAGGTGGAAACTGGAGAGCCGAGTCTGCTCCCTACTTATTATATGTCATGAGTACGTCAGCAGCAAGATCTTCCTGATCACCTGGACATTTTGTGCGTTCCCACCTTTGTTTGATCCAGCCCCATCTGTTACATCCTTCATAGCATAAAACATTTTTAAAAATCCAAAGCAAGAGAATGAATGTGGACAGTGAAGGAGAAGCAACACACTAAGATGTCATCATTCTGTCTTTTCTCTTGTAATCAACTTTAAACTGTTGACTGCCAGCATTGTGCAAAACAAACAATTGAGCTTGATCCTCCTCCTCCAGTCTAGGCCATTGCTGGGCAGGGGATTACAGGAGGCAGGGGCACACAAATTAATGGAAGAGAATCTCACTGATACAGTCTTCAAAAGGTGACTTTCTGATGCATGTTCTCTACTTAAAAGAGAAGACAAACTGTGACCCAAAGCCAGCAGAGGGCAGACTACTGACAGCTACATGCTGGCAGCACAGAGCCACGCTACAGCCAGGAAGATCCTGACAATATTGTTGGGATCCACCCCGCTGCCTGAATGACAGCTGGTTCTGCCTCTGTAAAGCCAGAGCCAGCTGTCTGTCCCTCCAATCAGCCCTTGAGGAACAGAGAAGGGAGTGGTGAGTGAGAATTACTGATCTCTGCAGGGAAAAGACCGGTGGTCACATGATCGCTCAGTTCTCAGTCCAGAGACGTCATGTGACAGCTGCTGTGTCACACATGGATTCTAAGTATTGTGAAGAGTATATTTGATTCTCCCGATAGTTTTCCTTTAAGTATGTGTTGAGTCCTAAGCCCTATATTTTGCTTTAACATGTTTTATAGAGAGCTGAACGTACCAGTCTGGCCTTGCCCAAATGTTGTGCTCCATAGTCCAAGGATTACTCACCTTTGATTTGAAATAGAGCTGTTCTCCTGAAACTCGTCTGTCCCTCTCCATGAGGCACCATTGGTATGGAAACCGAGCAATTCTCTTCTCCTGCAAATAAGCCGATAATTACGTGTATTATTGGCACATACTGAATAAAGAAACCTCATGGTATTATAATCCAAACTAACACACAATCAATATATAGCTTTGTATATAAATGACCACAAAGCGGATATTCATAAAACTTGCATTCCATGAAAAATAAAACAACATGTAAATGACTTGCCTGTGAGCTACATGGAACTCTTGATTTATTGTTTATATTTCACATAAAGTGTGACTGAACTCCAGCCTTTCCCTTCTCTTGCACAGTTCTGTACCAGCTCCTCTCCTGTACTGAATTGGCTTACTGTGATTTCAGTGCACACTGTGAGCTTCTCACAATGTGCATTAAAAGCCACAATAAGTCAGATAGAGCAACCTCATTTCCTAATTGGAGGAAGTCCAGCATCATCTAGATCTTTCCTCCCTAAACCGACTGCCTCTGGCCTTCCGCTTTCATTTATTGGATTTCAGTACTTTCATGAAGGTTCAGCATCACAGGTGGGCATTGCTTAGGACAGCCTGATGTAAACTCTACTTAATGTGAAATGTTACAGGGGGTACAGGGTCAGTGTCAACAGAAGCCTCTGCAGTCCTTAATAAAACAGTGACGGCTGTGTTCTCTTTCGGGCCCATTTTAATGGATGATAACACAAGGGCACCAGAAATTGAATAGGTGTGAATGGGGCTAGTTCATGTCGCTCTGTTCCGCTGGAAAAAAAAAAAAAAAAGGGGAGTAGCACATGCACTACTCTTTTTTTTTTTTATTATTGCAACATAGTGCAATGAATCCAGTGTGAACTAGCCCCTCGTTGTTCGATGCCCTTCTGTTAGCATCTGTTGAAAAACGTACCGGAAGAAAATTGGAAAGTACAATTGCAAGACAACAGACCATCCAATGACTTGCAGATATGCAAGATATATGCAGATTTTCTATGTTTAAATTGCCTCAATACCTCCCGTTACCCCTCGGCCCCATAGGAAGCGCATGAGCTGCTATTTCTATCATTGCACGACTGCTCGAGAGAAATACTGAGGCAGATCCGCCTGCATTGCATAGAGAAGCACAGACACCCAGAGATGAGATCACTGGGTCTAAAATACAGTTTTGTAATGAAAATGGAAAGGCTTGATTTACAAAATGTCAGCATGTTGATGAGAGGTAAAAGGGGGAAACAGGGAAGGCAAAATATAAAAAGATTAATCTTCAGGTTTAATAATAAAAACTAAAATGGAACTGGTAATTGTTCTAGCTAATAGAGTGCAGCGCAGATGATGGACAAAGCTCAGTAACCCTGACAACTAAAATGTAACTTCACTGAAGTCACGTCATTACAGGATGGTTATTGTACTGTGGTCTTGGTATTACTAAACAAGTCAATAATAAGGCTAAACCCAGATTCCTAAGTCACCATGTGGGGGGCAGTACCAAGTTGATGAAAGTTTTGCTGCCAAGGGTTCCTCCACAGCTTGATACCTGGATGGAAAGCCGAGCAGGTATGTGATGGGTCCAACACCTAAACATTCGGAACAGGACAGTCCTACTTCAAGAGGAGAAGGCGCTGTCCTTTTTTGCAGACAACATATAAGGGAGGGGACACAGACCCCTGCAGCCGAAGCCCAACGGTGAGGAGAGATCCAAACCCAAACCTCACTCTCCTCTCAGCCGGCTTCCTGGCCAATCAGCATGGAGCCGGCCTCTCGGCAAATCAGAAAGCAGGGTGGCGAGTCATTACCAGCCGTCCAGCTTCCTGATTGGCCAGAAAGCCAGCTCCATGTTCCCTAATGGCACTGCCGGTCTTAGGAAATCTCCCTCTGCCCGGAAAGTTCCAGTATCAGGGAAGGTATTGGAGCATTTGGGTAAATACAAGTACTCGGTATCGGCACATCCCTAATTTCAATGGGTCCCCAAACGAGCCGTGCGCACTGGAACGCGCGCTACAGCAATGCCGTGCGTTCCAGTGTGGTGCAATTGCAAAAAATGTGCATGTTATTTTATTCTGAGACTTTGTTTGTAAAACTCAATGGGGGGAATTTATCAAAACTGGAGCAAACAGGATCTGGAGCAGTTACCCATGGCAACCAATCAGCATCTCTCTTCACTTTGCCCAGGTAAGATTTGAAAATGAGAGGGAGAAGCTGATTGGATGCAGTTCAAATCTGCTCCAGATTTTGTCTGCTCAAGTTTTGATAAATTCCCCCAATGTGTATATTTTATATGAAAGATGGTATTTAATTTTTTTTTCAATCTGATTAATTAAAAAAAATATTCAGCCAAGGAATCGATTATGAAAATAGCAGGTTAATTGCAGCCCTAGCTCATTTTACAATCATATGAACGAATAAGCAACCCAAATCTATTTGCTGTGTAGTTCTGGCAAACTCTGTACCCCCCAATATTGTACTCTATCAAAGGATTCGTCTTCTTCCCCTAGTGCAGCTGTAGGAATATTGAGCACTGTAGTGAGCTGAGACAGTATTGTGAATTACCGGCTAACATACAGCAGTTCAGAAGCACAATGACAATTAAATTATGATGTTGGCAGCTGTGTGAGGCCTGTGAAAAGGACAAGGATCTGGTAAAGATGGCAATACAAAAAAAGAGCAGCGATCATCTGTCAGCCCAGCACCACAAGCCCCAGCATGCCCTTTCACCTCTGGGATGAGCCTACAATGTCAGTGTGCTTGGCTCACCTTGCCCCCATAGAAAGCTCGTGGAATGTACATTGAGGAGAATCCGGGGATCATCATGCAGACGGTCATGATGGCATAGCACGGCAAGATTTCATACCACATGATGGCACACTGCACCGATATCTCCAAGAGTGTCTGTACAAAACAGCAAGCAGGCCGCAGCTCAGGGTCACTCTCCTGGACCAGCATGCACAGCGCAGAAGAGCAACGTCAGACAAGACGGCCATGTTTGAAATGGGCAAACCCAAACGTTGAAAAATGGTGAAAGACTATTGCTACTGAGCAGACGTCTCTAAAGCTGTACCTGCATCAGTCATGGCGACTTAGTATATTTTGCACCGCGAGATTATATTTTCAGTTCGGTTGAAGAGCCAGTAATGACCGCCCACACCTTATAAATACGAACATGTCTGTACACGCCGTAGTATTAAACAATTAAACAAAGTACTTTATTATTAAACCATAATGAAAATAATTCTTGTTTTTTCAACTGAAATGACGTTAGAAAGTTGTTTGACGTAATAAAGTCGAGTTAGGCAATTCTCGCGAAATTTCAATGCGTGCATAGTGGGTGACGTCAGGGCGGCCATCTTACGAAGGGAAAAGTTCTTATGAAGGACAGCTCTGTGCATAGAAGCAACCTATTCTACAGACATAGGCCACTGGCTACAAATGCTTGAGGAAGTTGTCGCTAGACGGGTGGCTTCGGGAAACTCGTGTGTCTATAAGTAAGAAGCAGGTTTCCCCCACCCTATCTCATGAACGAGGCTAGCGATAGCAACAGATGCCCCATCCAAGATGGAGAATATTTGTGCTACGAGTGGCCACATGACGGGTATCCCGGCCAATCAGAGAGCCGGGCAGGAGATTGCTGGGGAGAAGTAGTCCGCTGGAGTCAGTATAGTTTGAGCCATCGAATATTTGTGTACGCCTCCTCTCAGTGAGACATGAAGGAAGACAAGGAGAACACTAAGCCCAAGGAAAGGAGAGCGGAGCTGACTGGGTTGGAGGATGGGGACAAGCCTGAGAAGGTGAAGGAGAAAAAGGAAGTCATGAGCAAGGTGAGGAGTAGGCGGTTCAGGCCTTGCCACTCACATGGAGTTAATGACATGACACCCATCACTGAGCATAACCCCAGGCAGTGATGTGACAGGAGTAGTGGTCACCTCACAGGACGTTGGTTGGCTTTATGTACACACGAAACTGAATGAAGCCTAGATCACAGCTGTCACTCATCTCCATAGACATACCCAGCCTTTTATAGTGACAGGATGAACCCTGATATGAAGAAGGTTCTTCCATGGATTCAGCTGCTACTACTATTCTCTTTTCATGTAAAATATGTGTAAGCCTGATCACTAAAATGTCATATAAGAAAGGAACATGTTACATTAGAAAGGAAGACAATCTGATCACCCATCTTCTAAATGTTGCCTCCATGTTGCTGTTATATTGCCTGCATGCAGTTTATTATCAATCTTAATGACAATACTTTTCCTTTTAACTTCTTTTTTTATGTGGTCACATGACCAGCGAGGGTTTCTCTGCGGCTGGGGGGGTGTGACGACTTTCAGGTCCCACAATGCCTTGAAATGGTAAATGTCACCGCATCTGGCATTGATGTCGTCCTCTTTATCTGAAATGCTAGAAGATGAGATCAAGTTTGATAGTTGGCATTTTTGGGTCTTGGGATGATGTCGCAGTTCTTTTGGACACCATTGTCGGTCCTTCACAGACAGGCACATACACCTCAGTCTAAAGCAGGTCAGAGCAAGCCAAAAGTAAACTGAATTAAACTTGCGTCTGATGACTGTTTGTAGGATCCCTAAAGGATCTGTCCCTTTTTGTCTATTGTGATTCATGTCCGTGCTGTTAGGACAGAGGCGGACAAATTCATATGGAATTCAGGAGCCAGTCTGTCCAATCCAGGAGCCAGCTCCATCGACCGCAACTAGAGAAAACCTTCAAAGTCAGGTACCAGCTGTTATTTTTAGGGAGTATTGGCTCCTGGGATCTTTCCAGCCCTGTGTTTGGACATTTTGTTACTCCTTTTATTTTTAAAGGAGAACTATGGGGTCAGTGTTTTTCCCCATAGTTCTCCTTAGGGTAACGGGAGGACACAAACTAGCGTCCTCCTGTTACCCTAAGCTCAGTATACCGCGAGCTATAGCTCGCGGTATACTGAGACGCCGGAGCGGATCCCGACGTAGATGACGGGATCCGCCCAGCTGCGTGAGTGGCAGCTGGCTCTGCCTATCTAGAGGCAGAGCCAGCTGTACCCGCCCCCTCCCCCGTCCGTTCCGCCAGTCAGCGCTGGCAGATCGGAGAGGGGAATCCAGCCCCTCCCCCTGTCAAGGCAGAGAGCCGTGACAGGATCGAGAGGTGAGCGAACCTGGTATGTGTTCGCTCACCTCCCGATCTACTGAGCCGACCTGTGACAGTCTCATTGTCACAGGTCGGCTAGAACTATGAGGTGAGTGGCAATCACTCATCTCCTAGTTCTTCTTTAATAGCTGTCAAGCTTTTGCTTTATTACATATTTCCTCCTTGACTTGTGTGTCTTGTTCCTGAGCAGGAAAAGCCAGTGCTGTGACCAGAGACTGATAAGTGATTTCTCTGTCTTATTGTCCATTTCATCACCTGGAATTCTGTTCATTTTGCAGGTAGTGATTCGTCGCCTGCCACCAAGTCTTACCAAAGAGCAGCTGGAAGAGCATCTGCAACCTCTGCCAGACCACGATTATTTTGAGTTTTTTGCAAATGACTCCAGGTAATACACAATAGCAATAAGGAGATTTATCTGTTCGTATAGTGTTTGTAGCTGAAACTAAAATTAGTAACGGTAATAATGAAATTATCAAAATGCTTTTAAAATTAATTTACACATCTGTATGAATTAATAGGCATCACCATCCTAAGACAAGCTGTATATGTTGTACTCCTTTCACTTATACTTAAAGAACATCAGAAGAATGTTTTATTGATCCTTGCGGTGGGGCTACCCCTGAACTGCAAGGGTTAAGTGCTCATTTTTGTCTAGGTGCCAAAATGACAAAGTTAAGCTGGCCTTACACCTTACAACCATCGCACGACTTTCGTTGTGCGATGGTTGTAAGGTAATTAAAATCTTGTACAATCTGCCCATCATGGACAGGCAGATCGTACCCGTTAAGTGGAGGGCTTCTAATGATTCCAATGCAGAACGTTCGGCATTTGCCTTTCCGAGCACGCCACTAGGTTTTCAAGCGTGCTCGGAAGACAAAAGACGTGTGATAGTACAGTAGAAACAGTTGCACGCCTTCCATACACCTGCCGATTATTGTAAGATCGCTGGTTCACCCGCGATTATCGTACGATAATCGGCAGGTGTATGGGCACCTTTTATACTCACCCCAAGTTCCAAGCCTGCCAGCACTCGCATTTCTTACGCTGCAGCAATGGAATGTTCCTCGGCGTCCATACGTCTATAGACTGTATAGAATGTGATGATTTACGAAACCTTAGACCGCTGCAGAGGAGGAGAAGAGAGGCTGGAAGGACTGGTCTAAAAGTGCCCATACACTGCACGATTATCGTACGAGAATCGCGGGAAATCCCGCGATCGTACGATAATCATGCAGTGTATGGAAGGCGTGCGACCGTTTCTACTGTACGGTCACACAACTTTTGTATATCGAGCATGTTGGAAAACCAGCTGAGAATCGTATGATTTTTGGCTGTTTTTTAGCATGATCGAGAGATAACTGCCGAACGGGCCGGTGTGCCCGTTCAGCATTGCAGTCATCGGAAGCCCGCCCCGTAAATCATCACATTCTATACACAGTGTATAGACGTTCGTATAGTGTTTGTAGCTGAAACTAAAATTAGTAACGGTAATAATGAAATTATCAAAATGCTTTTAAAATTAATTTACACATCTGTATGAATTAATAGGCATCACCATCCTAAGACAAGCTGTATATGTTGTACTCCTTTCACTTATACTTAAAGAACATCAGAAGAATGTTTTATTGATCCTTGCGGTGGGGCTACCCCTGAACTGCAAGGGTTAAGTGCTCATTTTTGTCTAGGTGCCAAAATGACAAAGTTAAGCTGGCCTTACACCTTACAACCATCGCACGACTTTCGTTGTGCGATGGTTGTAAGGTAATTAAAATCTTGTACAATCTGCCCATCATGGACAGGCAGATCGTACCCGTTAAGTGGAGGGCTTCTAATGATTCCAATGCAGAACGTTCGGCATTTGCCTTTCCGAGCACGCCACTAGGTCTTCAAGCGTGCTCGGAAGACAAAAGACGTGTGATAGTACAGTAGAAACAGTTGCACGCCTTCCATACACCTGCCGATTATTGTAAGATCGCTGGTTCACCCGCGATTATCGTACGATAATCGGCAGGTGTATGGGCACCTTTTATACTCACCCCAAGTTCCAAGCCTGCCAGCACTCGCATTTCTTACGCTGCAGCAATGGAATGTTCCTCGGCGTCCATACGTCTATAGACTGTATAGAATGTGATGATTTACGAAACCTTAGACCGCTGCAGAGGAGGAGAAGAGAGGCTGGAAGGACTGGTCTAAAAGTGCCCATACACTGCACGATTATCGTACGAGAATCGCGGGAAATCCCGCGATCGTACGATAATCATGCAGTGTATGGAAGGCGTGCGACCGTTTCTACTGTACGGTCACACAACTTTTGTATATCGAGCATGTTGGAAAACCAGCTGAGAATCGTATGATTTTTGGCTGTTTTTTAGCATGATCGAGAGATAACTGCCGAACGGGCCGGTGTGCCCGTTCAGCATTGCAGTCATCGGAAGCCCGCCCCGTAAATCATCACATTCTATACACAGTGTATAGACGTATGGACGCCGAGGAACATTCCATTGCTGCAGCGTAAGAAATGCGAGTGCTGGCCGGCTTGGAACTTGGGGTGAGTATAAAAGGTGCCCATACACCTGGTGATTATCGTACGATAATCGCGGGTGATCCCGCGATCGTACGATAATCGGCAGGTGTATGGAAGGCGTGCAACTGTTTCTACTGTACTATCACACGTCTTTTGTCTTCCGAGCACGCTTGAAAACCTAGTGGCGTGCTCGGAAAGGCAAATGCCGAACGTTCTGCATTGGAATCATTGGAAGCCCTCCACTTAGCGGGTACGATAATCGGCAGGTGTATGGAAGGCGTGCAACTGTTTCTACTGTACTATCACACGTCTTTTGTCTTCCGAGCACGCTTGAAAACCTAGTGGCGTGCTCGGAAAGGCAAATGCCGAACGTTCTGCATTGGAATCATTGGAAGCCCTCCACTTAGCGGGTACGATCTGCCTGTCCATGATAGGCAGACCATACGTTTTTTTAAGTTACTTTTACAGCCCTCGTAGGAAAAAAGTCTTGCAAGGGTTGTAAAGTGTATGGGCACCTTAAGAGCAAGCCAGCTCCATTGTTCAGGTGAGATGTTTTTTTTTTTTTTG